AGATGCTCAATATCACTAATCATCAGAGAAATACAAATCAAAACCACAATGAAACACCACCTCACACCTATTAAAATGGCTACTAACCAAAAAAATGAAAATAACAAGCATATCAAGGATGTGAAAAATTAGAACCCTTGTGCACTGTTGATAGGATTATAAAATGCTGCAATCACCACGAGAAACAGTATGATGGTGATTCAAATAATTAAAAATACAAGTACCATACAGCCCAGCAATCTCATTTCTGGGTATATATTCAAAAGCAGGATCTCAAAAAAGATATTTGTACACCCAAGTTCATAGCAGCACTATTCATAATACCCAAGAGGTAGAAGCAACACAAATGTCCATTGAGAGACGAATGGATAAACAAAAAGTGGCATACACACACACACACACACACACACACACACACACACACAGGATTCATCTTTATAAAGAAAGGCAATCTTGTTACACGCTACAACATGGATGAACCTTAAGGATATATACTAAGCAAAGTAAGCCAGTTATGAAGACAAATACTATATCAGTCCACTTATACAAAGTATCTAAAACAGTCAATGTTATAAACTGAATTGTGTCCCTCCAAAATTCACATGTTCAGTAGAGGCCCCAATGTGACTATATTTGAAGATAGGGCCCTTAAAGAAGTACTTAAGTTAAATGAGGTCATAAGAATGAAACCCTAATCTGATAAGACTTTATCATATAGGAAGAGAGACTTAAGATATCTTTCTCTCTCCCTACTTCCCCTTTCCTCTCCATCCCTCTCTCCTTCCCTCCCTCCTTCTCTCTTTTTCTCTCCTTCCATGAGCAAAGAGAGACCATGTGAGGTCACAGAAAGAAGGTGGCCAATTGTAAGTCAGGAAGAGAGGCCTTACTAGAAACCAATCCTGACACAACCTTGATCTTGGACTTCTAGCCTCCAGAACTCGTGAGAAAATAAATCTCTGTTAATATTTAAGCTATCCAGTCTGCGGTATTTTGTTATGGCAGCCCTAGTAGACTAATACAGTCAAATTTATAAAAACAAAAATTAGAATGGTGGTTAAGAGGGACTGGGGAAAGTAGGAAAAAAAGAGTTGTGTTTAATGAGTGTAGTTTCAGATTTGCAAGATGAAAAAGGTCTGGTGATCTCTTTTACAACAATGTGAATATACTTGACATTACTGAACTGTAGACTTAAAAAATGATTAAGATAGTAAATTTTATATTATGTTGTTTTTACCACAATGAATAAATAGAATTTCAATTTTCCTGCTGAAATAAAGAAATAGAAAGATAAGAAAATACAGCTTCACAAATAAAAACAACCACTAATACTATTTTATACATATGAAATGCATATGGATGTAGTTTATATTTGTTTACATTTCATTAGAAAAAGCAATAATGATGACTATCTTAAGGCAAAAATATCACTTCTATTTTAGAAGCAATAATTTCCTATATATAGCCAACAGAGAGAAACCTAGTTTATAAAATATAATTTCTAAATTCTACTAAAACTAGGGATGAATATAACATATCATCAACATTTCCTCCCTCAATATATTTTGCAAGAAAATGCTATTAACAGCAGAACACAATCATTTTTCTAAGTTCAAATTCTCTGGATTCTTAAATTGGATATCTTTTGAAAAAGGTGGGAAGAACAAACAGCAATACTAGGACTCATATAATTTACACAATGAAGAGAATTCAATTTAGCTTTTAAAAAGGCAATACTTAGTTACACTTAATGATTACATTCCCCTAAGCTCTTTTCTCCTAAGAATATGAGAATGAAGGACTTGATACCTATAAAATTCTTCATCATTTAATAAAAATAAATCTATTCTTCATGTTTCCGTAACAGTAAAAGAGAAAAGTGTAACAATAAACACATATTTTCTAACAAAGTCAACATGTAAGATTATAGAGATTTTGACTCATGCCACAGTAAAATTTCCCTTCTTTTCTGGCCTAAATACGATTTCAAGAAAATGGTGGGCTATGACACCCAGAGGGATAAGATAGACTCAGCTGGATTTTAGTTGATAATCTAGATCAGGGTTTCTCTACTTTGCCATTACTGACATTTTGGGCTGGATAATTCTTTGTCTTGGGGGTTCTCCAATGCACTGTAGGCTGTTTAAGAGTTTCCCTGGCTCTTCCCTAGCTAGCAGGCCCCTCCCCTCAAGTTCTGACAACCAAAAATGTTTCCAGACATTGCCAATGTCCCCTGAGGGGAAAATTAGCTCTGTCTAGAAAATGAGGACATAGGTAAGTTGATGAGTTAGCAGAATTAATCTGCACAACTTTAAGTCCAAAGCTAGAAAGTTAATATTTAGTACCTAAACTCTGATAAGCAATCTAAAGAATGTGAGTTGTAGGATAATTGTGGGCGAGGGGATGAGAGATAAAAAAATAGACTTCAAAATGTTGAGACATGTGCGTCTATTGCTAGAAAGAAAGAACATTCTAAAAATATTACCTGTCACTTTTTTTGTGTGCTCAAGGAAATAAAACCATAGCTACATTTGCTATTTTCCTCTTTTAGACTGCCATCTGGCAATCCATACTTGCACTAGAAAAAATTTTAGCCGATTGGACTAAAATAGTTAATGCACCAACCCATGTGCCAAAAATATGCCAGGGAATCTACAGCTTGCTCAGTCATGCCCCAAAAGAATGAAACTAACGTCCTCAGAAAACAAAAGTAAATAACTCACAGGATGCTTACACAACTTGTCAAAATTCCCTTCCTACTTTTGGTGGGAGGGCGGCGGCACCGAGTCAAACAGTTGCTGGAGGAAAAGCATACGAGTAGTTATATAAAACAGGCAAACTAAAGTAATAAAACTCATTTATTAGACGTCAACTCGTCCCCAAGACATATGGAATTAAAAAAAAAAGAGTCCACCAATCAAATACAGCAGAACACAACCTATAATAGCCATTATATTTCCGATGCTGCAGGGATTGGTTAGGAATGAATGAAAAACCGGGACAAGTGCAATGATCCTTGTAACACTCCTCAAGAGCGGCAGTGTAAAGATTCTTCACAATAATGAACACAAGGTTCACCACCATAACTGAATCTACTACCACTTCCTTTTTCTTAATACCCAGAGCTTCAAAATACAACTGTAAATCTACTGTTGCCCATCCCATATACAATGCAAAAACTGATACCAAAAGTAGGAGAAAATGACTTTTCCATAATCATAGTGAAATTTAATACACACTTCTGAAAAATCCACATTTCAAATAAATAAAAAAGATGAGTAAAAAGGTTTTAATAAACTTGACTATATAGATCTAAATATATAAAGACACACACACAGACATACATATATACCTACACCAGTGAATAAAGAATTTAACCAACGAACAGCTTAAAAATTTACTATGTATTAGAACACATACACACATACACACACACACAAACTCAACAAAGTCCCCAAAGCGTCAAACATACATACGGCATATTCTCTGATCATGCCTCAATAAAACACAAGAATAGTCAAGCGAACCTATTTCATTTACACTGGCATCAGATGCGCAAAAATCTAAAAGGCAGTTTGAGTGAGCGTGCAGGGAAATGCACACATTTATAGAAACTTCAGGTGGGAACAGAAATTCTTAATGCCTTTTTGCAAAACAATTTGATATTATCTATCAAAAATTTAAATGTCATACCCTTTGACTCAGCAATTCTACTTCTAGAAATCCTTATTACAAAAAGAGTACACATAATCACAAAACAATGTCCAGCACAAACAGGGCAATACTAACTACAACAGCAAACAAGTAACAACCCAAATATCTATCAACAGAAAAATGGTTCAATTATTTACAGTACATCCATTTCATAAAATGCCGAGGACTGCCATGGAAAGAATCTCCAAGACAGAGTGTTTTTTAAGTGTAAAAAAATACACATGTATCATTCAAACTCTGTTAAAATACAAGATAATAGAAAAGGAGAGGAACAACACACAACATACTTTTTACCTCCGGAGAGAAATAAATGATGGAGAACTTCCATATTCTCACACTTGTCTGTACTGTTTGAATATTTTATGAATTATACTGTGTGCATAATTCAAAGTCAAGCAATAATTTTAAAAAATTTTCTCATTTACTTCCCAGAAAAAGACTGGGATCTTTCTGTTCTTAGTACAAATTTGATTGAGCCCACTTTAGAGCACAGAACAAGTATAAACTTCCAATCTGTTCAAATAAGAACACTTTCTGTTTCCTCTGCCGAGAATGCTCTTCCCTCAGATATGGCTCACTCCCTAACTTCCTTCAAGTTTTCCAATTAAATATTATCTTAACCTGAGGAATGGTCCTTGACTTTTCAATATAAAATGACAACCCTCCTGCAGCCATCCTACCACTCCCCAGCTCCCTCACCTTGCTGTATATACTTCACTAGGTGTCAGATTTACACCTGTGCCTCAGTGTCCTTTTCCCTAAATGGGGGTGACAATAGTGTCTACCCCCACAGGAGTGCTGTTAGGCTTAAAAGAGCTAGAAACCCATAGGTGAGAACTGAGTTCATAGTAAGAACCACATGAATCAGTCTGATTTCTTTGTCTGTGTCGTTTACGATCTGCCTTCCTCCTATCAGAATGACAACCCCAGGAGGCAGGGACTGTGTTTTATTTGCTATTGCATCCCAAATGCCCAATGTCTGGAAACTGCTTATCAGTAAACATTCATAGTTGATGTGTCTGATTTAGTACTGCAGCCATATGTACAGACAGCTGAGATTACAAGAAAAAGACCAATTGTTTTCAGTAAAAGCGAGCTTTCTGCACATTAGCATGAATCATCTATAATAATTCAATCTACTTTGAAAGCATAACATTTAGGAGTATGACTCCAAAAAGCTTCAAGTAGGGAAGTGGTATAGTACCATTTAATTCATTAATTTCATAACACCAACATGGCAACAGAAACGAAAACATCATGTGGAATGAGGAAATAAGAGCACGGCTTACTTTTCATTCCTGCTTTTGATGCATGGCTGGTAGAGGACTTTGACAGCATTCCAAGCAGAACTGGAATCTGCCTTCGAAGTATCTTCCAACAAGGGAAACTTTTTGACACTTCTGGAACTTCCCGAAGATTCAATCACCAGACTGTCCGAGTTTAAAAGCCATAGCTAAAGATATGGAGAGAAAACTCCAATTATAAGGTTATCGCCATCCTATCCATATCTCACATCACCACTCAAAAAACAAACACAAAACAAAAGTATAAAAATATCAGGAAAAACAGAAGAGAATCATCTATATAATGTTTAAGGAAGGTAAGTCTTACAAAGTATAACCTTGGTAATCAACATGACAAAGTTTTAAAAAAAGAAAAAAATACAACCTGCTAGAAAGAAGTATTTAATATGTATAAATCAAAGTTATTACCTATAATATACAGCACTCCTAGAAATCCAGCCCAATAGAAATACAGGCAAAGAATATGAATAGAATTAACAGAAGAAGTAAGTGATAAAAATATTAAAGTGTTAACATACCTAAAAATAAGAAAATGCAAAACTTGTGTGCTACCCTTTTGCACTTACCAGATTGGCAAATACAAGAAGATTGATAACCCCCAGTTCAGAAGAGGGCTTGGAAGGGTATTCCCAAACACTGCTGGTGGAAGAGTGTCTGGGGGTTTGGATGCATGTGATTCAATCAGGGAATACTCTCAGAAGAAAGAGAGGAAGGCAAACAGGGTAAGGCAGAGGAAGGAGCTAGGCAAGGATGTGACCTCAGTTGGAGTACGGCTCAGCCTGATCCCACATGGAACTTGTACCTACACAGTTTGTCCCACCTTGAGAGACAGAAGACCCCAGGTGTTTGTACCTCAGGGTCAAATCATTGCAGTGGGATGACCAGGCTGGGGGGGGGG